GAACGTCCTCAAAGAAGAAAGGGAATGTGCCCAGGCCTCGGTCTCGTCTCCCTAGCCAGACTGTAAATTCTGGAAGGGCAAATGTGGACTCATGATTCTCAGCTTGCCATGACAGGTAGGCAGCCGTGGCTGGATTCATAGGAGATGTCCCACAAAGTTCTGTGGCCGGATGCCCTGACAGAGCTGCAGAAAGGCTGTGAGAAGTATCTACTCTACCTTGGGGAGTTCTTGGGGTGTAGGGACCCCAGTCTCCAATACAAGTGTTTCTACTCCTACATGTATGTCTTTAACCTCATCACATTGTCTTTGTCCTTCTTCCCAATTGCTGGTTTCTTGTCTTTCCCCTTTTGCCTCTTGCCTCTCCCCCCGCCCCGCCCTCCCAGCCTGAGGTCTGTGATTTCTGACCCTGACCCTTTCCAGGGCCCTGAGCTGGAGTCTGGGGTCTGGAGTCAATGAGATGCCCAGAACATGCAGGGCTGAGCCAGGCTTTGCGCTCACAGGGAGAGGCACCTCAAGGGCCCACATCAAGAAGCAAGGACCAAAACCAAAATGTGGCCTACCCGTACCGTGGGATATTTTCAGCTTTAAAAAAGGAAGAAAATCTGACGCACGCTGCAACATGGTTGAGAGCACATCATGCGAAGTGAAATAAGCCAGACACAAAAGGACAAATACCGTACGGTTTCACTTATCTAGAACAGTCAAATTCATAGAAAGTAGAACAGTGGTTGCCAGGGGCTTGGAGGAGTTGTTGTTTTTATGGGCACAGAGTGTCAGTGTGGGAAGATGAAAGATGGTTACACAACAATGCGAATATACTTCACACTACTGAATTGTATGCTTAAAATGGTTAAGATGGTAAATTTTTTGTTATGTGCATTTTACCACAATTTTTTAAAAAGCAGCAGCAGCAAGGACCGTTTGAGGCACCTCTAACTCAGCTCCTGAGACCCCTCCTGCTTTCCACCTGGTGCTGAGATAAGGTGGAGAGTGAGCCTCGCAGGGAAATCAAACTCCTCCTGATTACAACTGCGACCCTTCCAGAGATTGCCGTCAGGTGTCTGGCCCCAGTAGTTCCATAGCCACAGGCTTATTGCCCTTGTCTCCC